TAGGTGGTGGTGTCCAAATAACGGTACCATGCGTGAGGTTACATTGGCTTTTTGTAATGTCACAATGTGCCATGCTCCCAAATTGGCCTATTAAATGATTGCCATCAAAAGTTGCAACTGTTCCCTTTTTCAAAATATACGTTTGTAGTGACTGTGCACTTTTCTCCGAAAAACCATGGATAAGAGTAATGAATTTGGTTTTCCGAACCAAAGCGCTAGAGGAACCGTCCAGTGAACGTTCAAATATTTTCTTGATTGTGTAATTGACTCGCAAAGAGTAGGGTCCATAGGGGTCATAAATTCTTCATTACTATTGACTGAGAATGAAACATGCAAGTATGAAGATGCGCATATTCTCCTAGTTTTATTGAAGCAGTGAAATGCTGGTATTAACAGTGGTTCTGTTCTTTCAACGTAAAGATTGGCTCCCGTGATCATGACTTGGGAAGAATTTGGGGAACTCGTGCATGTCACAGGATCAGGGAAAGCTATGGGCCAACCGGATTTGCCCGCTGCACAGAGTTGGTATTTTAGAGAAAATGTTCAACAAGGACTTGTCATTAGGCTTACGATAGCGACAATGAATAAAGAAGTCATGGGTTTCAAAATGGTTTTTAGACTACTTGTAGTTATGGAGTTAACCGAGAAATGATGAAGAATTGGGTTGTTGGCGAGATGGACGTGTACGTAATTGAAGAGTACACGGCGATAGGAGCTTTAGCCCGTACCTATGAGAGCTTATCACGATGTAATGGCGAGTTGGCACAATGCTTTGATATCCTTTGTTGTATTAGGTTGTCCCATAATTAGTGAATCACTTTGGGTATTTTTGAATTCAAATTTTTTTCTTTTTTATGTGGAGTCTTTGCTCATCCAAACATACATCTCTGTCATCTACAATGTATTGCCTAAACAAGGAAATTTAGTTGCTGTCTTATCTCTAGAATTCCAGGAGCTATTGATCGAAGAAAGATCGGAAGTCGAGTTTGAGGTCATGTCACTTAGCGTAAAGTTTCTTCCTGGAGAAGAGCGCTAGAGGTCAGACTGAGTTGTCTTTTGTTGACACGAGGATAGGGCCACATATAGGAGGTGAAAGAAGTGCTAGGAAGTCTCCAATTTTTTATGAATATTCTCCGCAAGGTGGGTCGAACGACCTCAGGAAAAAAGCAGACTTTGTCTTGCTTTACTTTCAAATTGAACGCGTCGCCATTGCGCTGTAGATGCTGATCTTCTTCAGTGACCCTGGTATTACTGGGCGGCGGTTCCCAGCGCAAGGTCACTCTCGTGCTCATACAATATCTCGGAAGGGTCGGACTCAAAGGGGGTTCGGCTTTTGCTGTCAGAACTCCCGAACCCTTCATGCTAAGCTGCTGCTTGTTGGAGATTTGCTAGTACACTTCACCCAGTCCAGAACCCTGATGCATATGCCGGATGATCACTGTAAGGAACTAAGAGAGATCAGAAGGAACATGATGATGTCAGATCGTGTGTGGAGCTGTTTCGGGCTCACAGCATACAAGATACAAACTAAATATTTTAAAATCTTTACAACTCTACGTAGATGTCTACATTCCATCAGTTTAATAAGCCGGACATGCTCCAGCAAATGGCGACAAGTTTGTCCAGATCCACCCTCAGTGGCGCTGGGTACAGCAGTGAGATTGCCACTTGAGGGGTAGTTGGAGTGTGGGTCATCTTCAACTCAAAAGCCAACCTCTCGATAGAGTGAACTACAAGCAGACCGTGGATTGAGGGAGCGTGCCCTCGCCTATCCGCTGGTTGATTCTCTATGTTGTTGGGCGTATGAAGACCAACAAAGATTAAGCCAGGGACTCAAATAGATATTCAGAAAAAATTGAAGTATCAGCCACGGAAGGCAGCATGTACATGGGCCGAGTAATCGCTCAGGTAGGATAATGTGGATGCTACTTCGCAAAACATGTTTCATGCCTTCACCATTTTTCTTGGATTTTTAATAACAATAAATGTAAAGTGATTCACTAATTATGGGACAACCTAATATTATTATCGTTTACTTGGCGACTTTGCTGTCTACTAAATTGGGGGATGTTCTCCACTGTACTTTCTTGGTTTGTGGAGTGCGACCCTACATATTGCGAGATGGGCTGCGAAAGCGTGGATTATTTTGGTTATTATTTCGAAAATTATTGAATCTATTATATCGTCTAGGCTCGAAATCAGGGTTGAAGTTCCGATTAGGTTTACGGAAAGTATTGGAGTTCTAGGAATTTCAGAAGATCTATTGGAAACTATTGCATCAATGGCTCTGTCGATTTTGCGATCAACAGGTTCCCCTCAGGAGGGAAGTGGAAGCACTATTATGCATCCGTTCTGCAATTCGATAAAGTTATAAAGAAGTAGCGACAAGAGTCAGTACTCCTTCGATTTTATAGTACACCATTATAATACCCATATTTACCGGAAAATTGCGCGTTCACCAAGATCGGAGTATATCATCCAATGATATTTCATTTCCGGATTCTCTTCGAAAAACTACAGGAAATTGTAAATTCATCCGCACTATTCATCAATCCTTCTCTCGCCAACACAGACTGCGTTTGAGACATCCTTTGATTGGTATTGCTGAACGCCAATTTGATTTTTGCTCATCTGTCCATATATTATCATAAACTGCTTTTGCCACTCCCTTGAGATGGGCCGGGAGTAGACGTGCCATTTTGGATTCATTAATTCCCATTATGTTACTTATTTCATGGAATTCGTGTACAAAATCCATAAGACCAGCACCCATGTTTGCTCCCGAAAACGTTGGAAGTTTGCTAGCGTATGATGCTAGACATAGCCTTTCAAATGCGGATTCTAAGCTATTATTAGCAGGTTGATTGTTGGCTTCCATTTGAATGTCTTGGGTACAGTAATGTTTTGATTGGGGTTTTCGAAAGTTAATAACGTAATCGTAATCGCACAGTTACGGCTGAACGTATTGCTCTTGAAAGTTATTAATGGATGAGAATTGCAATTGTAGTTGGTTGCTTGGTTCGTCGATAATTAGTGGAGAAGGCGTGCGCAATGAGCCGATTGTTGAGTAAGGATTAATTAAGATAAACTATCGTCTGAAGGTGGGGCAGTTGGTGTTAGTCGCGGAGGAAGAGATTGTGCGCGACTATATCTGGGTTCAGAATCGGAACTGGCAATGGAATTAGCTGGTTGAGGTGGCGCGAAGAATTCGGTTTTGTTTTTTAGTTTCTTTTTATCTGGGGTAGTAGATGATCGTACTCTGGTGCGACGCTTAACGGAAAATCTCCCCTCTGCAAGTCTATGTAAGGTCTTCCGTCCGAATCTGTTAGTATTTCGGAATCAGAATTACTCATATGCGGGAGGCTAAATACTGACTATTAGTTTTTTTTTTTGGGAATTACTTTTGTTATGCTACTTAAGTTTTGTTTTATTTCACTTAATAGAAGAAGTAAATTCAATTGATGAATAAATTGAAAACAAGTTTTTTTTGTTAGAGTCTATCAGGCCCTTTTTTAATTTAGGAGATGAAGGAAGTAAAGGTAAAGAGAAATATGAAATACTAGAGTTGTTACTGTTTAAGACTCACTGATCCTTGAATGGGTTGGTTGTTGAATGAAAATGTTGATCGTTTGTTGTAGATTGTTTGAGTTCCTGGCAGTTGGTGATGTTGCCTTTTGGTTGGTTGTTGATAGGCGAAGGTGGGTCACTACTCCAAGTGGAGCTTGATGTTGCGAATGATTCTGGGGGTCGAGGTTCTTGCTTATCAGTGGGCTTTGTTTGCATTAGAACTCCTCTTTACATACCTTTGTCATTGGTGGGACTCCTCCCATAAATGCTGAGGTTACTGTAGATAAATAATATTAAAGAAAAATTTACCGTCAAGACACAAAAGAAATGCTCCGCTACTTGTTTGTCCTGAATGTGGAGAAAAACACGCTTTTCTTCTCGCTTAGGAAGAAGGAGCTGTGTATACAGAAGTATTTTCAATGTTTTGGCGGGTTATGAGCAAAAAAATGGTTGTATTAATGTACGCAGACTTAATTGAATGTTATAGCAATTTAAACCTTTCAGGGAATAATATGAATTTGTTACTACAGCATTCCTCTGAAATTACACTTAAGTTCGTTAATTTACGTATTTTTAGGCATATGTTGGTGAGATTAACGATATTAGTACTCCAAACAATCTTACTTGGTCGAAAAGTATCGAAACAATCGTAATATAACAGAAGACAAACGAAATTGGATAGCCATATGGATTATTATCTTATCCCGTCGATTGGAGGTACCACTACTATAGCACTTTGTTTGGCGGGCGATTTCTATCAAATTCAAGAAAAGCCTGTGAACCTCAGTAACTAATCCTAATCAGAATGAGTTTTACGACGTATATACCGAGAATCCACAAAAAAACTAACTGATAATGACAATTCTGTAAAAAGTGTGTTTTTTTTGATTATGTTTTTATTTGTTCTCATTATTCAAAATATGAGTGTGGATTGTTTTTTAGCCATTCCTTTCCAACAGTTTCATTCATTCGCGTACATGCTACTTTATTATTCTCTATAAAAGGTAGAAGTAATACTTAATTTTCCTATTCCAGAGAGTTTCGATGATGGTGTACTGGTTGTGTACAACGCAATTATGCGCAGTGTGCGACCCGGTAAGTACATTGATACTGGGATTGCTTTTAGCGGATTGATATGGTTTTCCTATATGTCCTCAGGTGTTTCTACGTCAACCCTGCGTTATCGTTGCTTCCTTGCTTTTATGTTTCCCGACTATTACGGATATATAAGGGTCTAAAACTGCTTCTATCAGTGCACTCAGTTTGCTATTTAGCTTTATCTCCCATAATAGTATTTTACTCCAGGGACCTCCTCATTTTTGACTATTTCTTAAATCTATTAGTGATTTCTTTGGTCATGTGCTAGAAGATTGGATTCTATTCTCGTGATTGATTGTTACTTTTTGTCTAATTATTGAACTTTCAGAAAAAAAATGGAGAACTACTACGATCCTGAACTGTGCGGCTACCGCACGCCATCGCCCACCGACTGGACTCCGGAAGGAAGTCCAACCTTGGACGGTGTTTTCAGCGATGATGAAGAAAAGGTGGTGGAGGTAAATTTCAACTTTACTAGAACTGGAAGTCTACCATTAGTATGATTCAAAAGGGAATCTTTTCAGAAAAAGTGCTCGTTCTGTATCGAGGAACGGGCTTGGACAGAGAGCACACGACAGTTGAGGGAAACCAAGCAGGAGGTATGCCTGCAGGCCGCCGATGAGCAGGTGGCCCTGCGAGCTCGATTTGAAGAGAAGTTCAAGGAAAAATTTGAGATGATGAAGTATTGGTCCGATAAGACTCAGAGAGCGATTCAGGTCTGTTTCCTTTCTTTCTTGGTTCAAAAAATAATTCGGAAATAATTTTTCTTTTGTTTCAGGAGGTTTTTTGCCTACGTGAGCAGATGTCCCGCCTAAGAATGGGCATCTATGGGAGGTGTCTGCCCCCGGGCGGAGGGGGTTAGGGAGTTATTATGGTTTTTTTCAATAAAGTATTGAAATAGAAAAAAATATGTGTTGGTGTTGGAAAGGTTTTAATCCTTTTATACTTGTTCGTTCATTGAGAGTGTAGATGAAGTATTTGTTTTTCTAATTTGTCTTCTAATCCGTTTCAGCGATATACTAATATTTAAGATGAATTTCGAAAGTTTTAGAAATGAAATGATGCGTCGTTTGGCGGTACGTTTTCTTCTTTTTTTTCCATACTCACAGTAAGAAAAGTATGTGTTTCAGCCAAATCGATGCGAAGGCTGCGAAGACGCGGCCGTGGAGTTACAGAAGGAGCTGTTTAATTACAACAGGGTAAATGAATGGAAAAAGGAGCTCGACTATTTTAACCACCAAGAAGAGGAAATGCAGAGGACTATTCTGGGAATTATGGACAGCATCATCGAGGACAGCAAAAGGAAGTATGAGCTTGTAATGCAGGTGAGCACTAAATTTTTTCTTCCTTAGTAATCGCGTACTTATTTCCTATTTTCAGGCAAACTATGATCTTCGCGTTTCGTTATGGCATATGCGAAGCTTTTTTGAAGAAGCTACCTACATCCCGAGCGATGTACGAGCCCGTAGGCCTGAGGAGCCAAGGGAGGAGGCCCCTCCTCAGCAAGGAAGTATCGACACAAGAAGTGAGGAAAATGAAGAATAAACTTTGTTTTTGTTGTCCTATAATAATGAATAAATGTGTTGGAATTGAAGACTTGTGATTAGTTACCATATAGAGTGAGAACTCTATTGAATATCTTTTTTTTAAGTTATCATTTTGAGTCGTCGGATTTCCTTCTTGGCAGAAAAAAATTTCTTCATGTTCATTCCATGTTTTCGTATTGGTCAAACGTCTTAGGAGACTTACACAAATATACTGTGATGTTTGTGCACGAAGCACTATATCATTGCAGTATAACAAACAACGCAGCTTGCCCAGATAAGCAGCGTTGCGTTCTTTAATTGCACAAATACCCGCTTGAGCAGCGGCGTATTGTGATAAGCAGCGTTGCGTAATAAGATTGCACAATACCCACTTGAACAGCGGCGTATTGTGTTTGCTATCTCTACAGGTCAAAGATATCATCGTCGCAACGCGAGCAGCAGATGTTTTGGGATGGTGCCAGGACACTTACGCTATCTATTCCATGACCGTTAGAGCGAATATGCGCTTCGCAAGGTCACAAGAGATATGAAGGCAAGGCCTGTGTAGTCACGCAATTGGTTTTGGATAATAGTTTTCCAATACATGTTTTGCGGCTGCACGCTAAACAACTACAATGCAGGTTCGCTCGGAGCATCATAAGACATTAGGTGAGTAGCGAAAAAAGTGAGAGTAGCTAGTTCTCATTTGGCCAACGAGTCCTTTCAAAGCATAAAACGGAACATTCGCCGTCGCTAGGACTTTAATCTGTATTATGACTGACAATGCAGCTTATGCAGTTGTCAAATACATTGGAAATCAAAGAGTGCTTTTCGCGCACTGTAACTCAATTCAAAGAAAAGAGAAAAAGCGTCCTTTTTCTTCACATTTTTTTCCAGATTTGAACAATCTGTTTTTTATAATATATGTATATTAGAAAAGAATATCAATTGATAAGAATACCTGTATTCAGTTGATTGTTCCTTGAATATTGGTTGATTGAATATTGGTTTCCAGGGGTCTTCTTCTGATCTGTCGACTTATCAGGCGAAGAGGGGTAATGGGTATAGGGGGGGGGGGTGTTTCAAAACAATAGGCCCTCATGATTTTTTTTAATCATATGAGAAAAAAAATTACATTCGTTTTTTTTTACTATCTTCCCGGGACCTCCATATCAGATTATAGGTTAATTACTCCTTAATCTGAAGTGTGTAGCGGTATGTGTATCCCAATAATACAAAAGCCAAGATTAGGCTATACATATTTATTACATATAATAACAGGAACAGGGACATAAGAATGGGGTGGAGTATGGTCAAGGCTGGACCATCACTCCCGAGCCCCGGCTAGCCAACGCCAGCCTCCTTCGATACCGTAACCTGGGCCACGCCCCTTCACAGTGGACGTGGACCCGACACACATTCAAGGCAAAACAACATTTGAAGTAACATGCCTAATAAGCAATCACATGCGGCACGTAGACCACATGACGTATGAAAATTCTATGAATCGACCTAGTGAATTACGCTGTTTAATCCTTAAACTACGATTTTTTCAAATGAGGTTACCGTTGTGTTTTATGTAGGAGGTAACTATCGCTCCTTGCAACAACTAATCACCTATAGAAGTTGGGCTGACGTACCTACGTTGGATTTTGATCCAGGACTATCGCGCGGCAGCGGCCCCTCTTGTCACCGCACCATCACCGCTTAAACGAGTATTTTTGAAATGTAAGTCGGCAAATTAATTAACTATTACGACTACACAGACTCCATGTCTCATTCTTGGAACAAAGCCAATGCCGGAGGCGACCACACTTGGGAAGAATTGCAAGCCGCACTCTGCAGAAACGCTGCGGGTCTAACGGGGTGCTTCTGGTAACGATTAGCCGTCGCCTTCTACTGCTTCTAAATCTGTGCCGTGATAGTAGGCTTCTAACTTCACTTCCGCACCATCGGAACGTCAGAACCTAGGATCTTAGAATCCCCAACACTGTCGCGGAGCGCAGTGTAGTTCTCTGACTGGTTCGGCTAATAAGAGGCCTCATCTTTCGTCCTTTGATGGCGTATTTTGCACCTTATACAAATGTAGGGAGACTCCAAACTCTAGCTCAATTATTAAGAGTGTGTGAGCCCTGAAAATACTCATCTGGGAGCTGCGTACACTGACCAATGAAGTGCGGTACAGCATATTAATTATCCACAATAACTCGCTTTGAATTGTGAAGATTTGCTACCAGAGGGAAAATTATGGCATTTCTATGTGGGCATACAAGTGCACCACCAGAAGTTGCTTTTGTATTGTCGAATATTGCGCATCATACACCGATACAGAAGACATTCGTGAAGCTTGGCGGACCAGTCCAAGGTTTCCAAGGTTTACCATGTTCTCAAGGGATAAAATAGAGCATAGATTAGAGAACATGGGAACACTTCCCAGGAACGAAGCGTTGTTGATAAAATGGCACTATGGCTTCATGATAAAACATGGACAATCTAGGTGTAATCGCAAGATACAGGGGCATTGTGATGGCAATGCGCTCGATACCGCGTAAAACATTTCTTGTTGAAAATGGGACTGATCCTTAGACGGGAAGGAGACTCCAGAGTCTAGTGATGTTCATTTCCCCTAGCGTTCCTGCCTTCTTCTAGGCTTAGTTCCAGAGGATGCTTCCGTACCTTGCGACAGTAGCAATCTAGCATTCTTTTCATGTAGGATCCAATCATAATGCCTGCACTGACGAATAAGGCAGGCGTTCGGTTACGGTAGCCGCGCGTCGGACGCAATCGCACCAACGCCGGTGCTGGTGCAAATGTCCCTGCCGTAGTGTTCTCGACGTTCTTTGACGTGCGCGCGGTTGATCGAGTAGCTAACGAATCAAAAGCTTCAGACTATCTCCAGGCCTCTGAAGAAGACGAAGCTGTCGAAACGTCAGGCCAGTAATAAAGATTCCATCTTAAAACCTCGTTTGGCATACAGTACAAAACAATAATCACCATTGTTACTCACTACAGAGTCCCACCTAATGGGCAGGTCAGCGACCCCTTCTCCCAGAACTGAGCAGACTGAGAGTCAAAGAAATCGCTGACCGCTCTTTCAACGTCTTCAACTTTGGTGAATTTTTTCTTCGCTAGGAATGCCTTAAGGGGATGAAATAAGTGATAATCAGAGAGGGCAATGTCAGGGGAATAGGGTGGGTGGGGAACCGCGTCCCAGATCAGCTCTTCCAATTTTGCACGGGTCTCTTTAGCTATGTGGGGCCTGGCGTCATCGTGGAGTAGGTGGACAGAAGTTCGTCTCGGTCGTTTTTCTGAACAGCGTCCGCTAGTTTCTGGAGCTGACTGGCGTAAATGCTGCCGGTAGCGGTATGTCCTTGCGGGAGCAGCTCATAATACAACATTCCTCACGAATCCCAGAGGCAGCAAAGAAGACAGCTTTTGGGGTGAAGGTCCGATTTTGCTTGTGTCGGCGGGTCTTCTCCTCGAGGGAGCCACACGGCACTGTGCTTGTTAGAATCGTAGAGGACCCAACTCTCATCTCTCGTAATCATGCCTTCCAAAAACTCCTTTCGGTGCGGACAAAGAAGGAGAAACTGACAAATGGGTACCCGCCTGAACCGCGTGCTATCGGTCAAGACATGAGGGATCCATCGAGTCGGCACTTTCCTGTGGCGAGGGCGTGGAGGGGACCGAGGACTGTGGGATGGGTGCACCCGAGTCTTATCACAAGGCTGCGGGTGCTAACCTCCGAA